ATATTGATGATGATGATGACGAGGAGGAGTAGGATGAGGATTAGCATGACAATGAGGATGAGGATGAGGGTGAGGGAGGGGATAAGGATTAAGGTGAGGATGAGAATGCGGATGAAGTTGAGGATGATGATTAGGATTAGGATGCGTTGAAGATGAGGATGTGGATGAGGGTGAGGATGAGAATGCGGATGAGAATGATGATGAAGATGACGGTGGCGATGATGGTGATGACGTTAATGATGACGATGATAATAATGTTGAGGGTGAGGATTAGGTTGAGTATGAGAATGAGGATGAGAATGAGTATGAGGATGAGGATGAGGATCATGATGAGGATTGGGATGACGATGAATGTGAGAATGAGCATGAGGATGAAGATGAGGAATAGGATGAGGATGAGGAAGTGGATGAGGAATAGGATGAGGATGAGGATAAGTATGAGCATGAGGATGAGGATGAGGATTAGGATGCGGATTAGGATGAGGAATAGGATAAGGATGAGTATGAGGATGAGGAAGATTATGATGATTAGGATGAAGATTGGGATGAGGAGGAGAATGTGGATGAGTATGAGGATGAGGATGAGAATGAGGATGATGATGAGGATGAGGATATGGATGCGGATTACGATGAGTATGAGTATTCAGGTTGGGCTGAGGATTTTATTGAATATGGGGATGAGGATTTGGATGAGGACGACGATGACGATGAGGATGAGGATAAGGATGAGAATGAGGGAGAGGATGAGTATTAGGATGAGGATGAGGATGAGGTTGATGATGGGGATGAGGATGAGAATAAAGAGAAGCATGAGTATGAGAATGAGGATGAGCATCAGGATGAGAATGATGATGAGGATGATGTTGAGGATGAGAATGAGGATGAAGATGTGGAGCAGAATGAGGTTGAGTATGTGGATGTGGATGAGGATGAGGATGAGAATGAGGATGAGGAATAGGATGAGGATGAAGATGAGAATGTGGATTAGGATTAGGATGAGGATGAGGAAGATGGTGTGGACTATGTTGAGGAATAGAATGAGGATCAGGTTGAGCATGAGGATGAGTGCGATAATGAGGATGAGGATGAGGATCAGGTTGTGGATGAGGACAGGGATGAGAATGAAGATGATAATGAGGATGAGCATGATACTGAGGAAGAGGATGAGGATGATGATGATGTTGATAATGATGATGATGACGACGATGTTGGTGGGGATGTGGATGATGATGCCGATGATTTTAATAATGATAATGATGATGATGATAATGATCATCGTGACGATGATGAGGATTAGGTTGAGGATGAGAATGAGAATGAGGATGAGAATGAGCATGAGGATGCGGATGAGGATGAGGATGACGATGTGGATGAGGATGAGAATGAGGATGAAGTCGAGTATTAGGACTAGGATGATGAACTGAATGAGGATGAAAATGAGGATGAGGATGAGCTTTAGGAGGAGGATTAGGGTGAGGATGAGGAATATGATGAGAATGAGGATGAGGATGATGATGAAGATGATGATGATGATGTTGATGA